AGCATTTAACTAGGAACTCCTTCAACATAAGGTCACACACTTGTAGGGGGTGGAAAATAAGTGCTTGATTTGGAAAAAGCAATCAAGCATCCACTTCGTTTTTTGGCATGAGGAACAAACAAAGCAAAAAAAACAAAAACAAAAACCTCACCCCCTGTGATCTTTGCAAACCAGGCAGACAAAGAGCCAATGCACCCTGTACTCAGGGAGACCTGAGCAACCTGCTCTAGTGGGAGGAGCAACTTACCAAGCAGGGGGGTTGGATCTGGATGATCTTTAAGGGCCTTTCCAACCCAAACCAGTCTGGGATTCTCTGATTCTCTGCAGCTGGCTCCCTGGAGGAGCTGGGGCTCTGCTTCACCTGCCAGCTTTGCAGGGCACAGTTGGGGAAATAAGCAGCTTACATAAGGGCGTGTTGCCAGCACCACACACACAAATGCTTCCTCTATCCTGTAGAAGGTATTTTTGGATCTGCTAAAATGCTACTGTGTTCTTCCAGGGCTTTGCATTCTTCTGCTCAGAAATTGCATAATCTGATGCCACAGGAAATGAGTGATGTTGCATAATGATTCTTATATTCCCTGCAGGATTTTGGCCCGCCACATCTCTGCTGCAAAGTAGCCCTTCCCTGTGCCCCTGAACTGAGGTCCTGGGGTTCTGGAGAGAGGATAATCTATCAGGATAATCCACCAGCCACCTGCCTTTGGGGGGTAGGCACAGGGGTAACAAGCCAAGCACCCCCTTGTGGTGTTACTTCTCAGTGTGACGAGAATCTCACATCACAAAAATCAGTTTTAACTTTGTGTGCCCCTTTGCTCCTTCTGGTTTCCCCTACTCTGGTTGTCTGTGTGTCTGGAGCTACGTGCAGACACTGAACACCAGCAGTTCCCCATGTTCTGACCACACACCTGACTGACCAGTGACCCCCTCCCTCACAGGCTCATCAGCACTCCTGTGAAACATTCAGCTGTATAAAAGACAGACTAAACACTCATTACCCTTTTAAACTACAGAATTACTATTGGAATCTGTCTTAGATAAAAATTTAGAAATGACCTTAAGTTACACTCTTCCCTTTCATCTTTCCAGCTGCCTTCATATGTACAACTTCTAAAAACCCAGCCACAGACTCTTCTCTCTCCTTTTCTCATCCTTCAGAATTCTGCACTTTTACCTCATTAAAGATCCACGCCATATCACAAAATAATAGTAGAAGATCAAAGGATTTAAATTAACATCTTGAAAAACTACAAAACCAAGGAAAATCTCCAAGTTCAGTTCACGGCCGTGTTACAGTCTAGTTGACATTGTCACGTGAAGCCATTAAAAGGTTTCAGCACCACCAACGAACAGTATCTCGTAATTTTCTCCACTTACAGAACTGAAACATTGTATTTTCCTCCAAGGAGTAGTGTTAAGATTAATTAATGTCTGAAAGATCTTCGAGGATGAAGATCAATACGAAAGAGCTATTGAGGAATCCAGTGCATGAATCAAACTCATCTGAGGCATCAGGCTGGTCTCAGGTAAACTCACTCACAGGCTTGTTTATGTTTTTGTAGTAGGTATGAATTATTCAGTACTTGCAAAGCACATTTGCCATGTCAAGGCTAGACACATAAACTTCTCAGACTTTTCACAGCCACTATTAAAGGAACTGAACAACTATTCCTGAACATCCAACAGTTACTGCACTGCTCGATCAGCAGCAGAGCAGGTGCACCTGCTGGGAAGGGAACACCTGAAATGCAGATCTCGCCCATGAGGAGGGACAGTTGTACTGAGCTGTGTTTAGTAAGCACCACAACACTCCCAGGAGCAAAGAGGATTACTCCTTGGCAGAGAAGCAGGCACAATGACTTGCTCAGGAGCCTCTACTAAGCCTGTATTACTGACACAGCGTCAGGGGCTCCAGCAGCATCTGAGAGGTGTGATCCTGTTCTCAGGCCACCAGAGCTTTACGAGGTAAAGGGTAACACAATCCAGACAGCAAACACAACACATGCACGGGCTGGAGAGGCCTGAGATGGGACCTGCCTTCTCACACCCTGCACAGACCTCCCAAAGCAGCACTCAGCCCCTCGCTCCATCCCTACTAGGTCACTTTTTGGCTACAGTTGATAAACCAACATCTGAGCATCTCCTCAGGCACATCAGGACGGTGATTTTCTGTGCTTCAGCAGGCAAGTCCCAGCTGTACAGCTGCAGCACTGATTTTGCTGTCCTCCAGAAGGTACTAGAGTCTCTGGCTGGGGACAAGAAAGGACAAAAATCCTAGGAATGGAGAAAATGACCACCCAGAGAGACCTCCATTCCTCAAGCCCACTGTGCTGGAAAAAGCCCAGCCTCCCACCCACACCCACCAGGACTTGATCCTCCCTTCCCTTCCAGCACCTCTCAACGCTGAGCTGGTGACTGCTCCAGAAGAAACAGCACAAATGCTTCCAAGGTCACCAGAGGACTATAAACCCCATGTATTTTACACAGAAAAATCTCTTCTTCACTCTGGCCCACACCCAATTGTTGCCCAACAACAACTGCCTTTTCGGTCCAAGTTGCATGAGCATGGACAGGGGTGGGAGTAAGTACACTCAGGGTTTCAGCTCCTGGCCCACCTTGGTATTTCTGCCACAGCTGCCAACTTGCTATCCAATCCAAAGCAGCATGTGTTTTAGGTGAGGTTTTTACTGCCTCTTCCCCAGAAGCAAGAGTGGTTTGCTGCAATGCCACTAACCAGCAGCCTGCTGGTGCTGCCTACAGCCCCTCCCTGGGGCATATTTGCCAGGGAGGGAGTAAAAATAGTCCCATCAACTGGTGAGGATTTGCTGAAGTGCCCAACCCCTGAGAGCTCCAGCCTCTTCTGCAGATGCAAACGTAACATTTGACTCAGTCTGATGCAGTTATGGCTGAGAAACTCACTGGAAGTGGTAGAAGCAGCAAGTCTGCTGCTGTCTTCCTCCAAACATGGGATCTTAGGTGACAGCTTGGCTGAAGTGTTCCATGCAGGCACCTTCCCCTGCCCACCCTGGCCCCAGGGACCAGAGCTGAAGAGAAACCTGCACTGATTGTACATCTGCTCACACCATCCACGTCAGACCTTTCATTTCTAACTGTGAAAGCTTTAAATAAAGACACTTCCATTTTGAGAAATCCTGTTATTGGAAACCCACTCCATACATCTCAACTGGAACAGGTACCAGATACGAACAACTCCAGCCTCATCAGTCCCCATCTCACATTTGCTATAAAAAGAAGTCTCAAGAAAACCAGAAATACTGGAAAATCCTTCTTATCCTGCCTCTGCTTAGGGCAGAACCATACCTGAATAACTACTAATTGTGAAGTGAATCTGTGAAGAGATCTTCAAATAAATCACCACTCAATTTTCTGATCCACTGGAGATAAGCCACTTACCAGCTCTTACAATAGGGGACAAAAGAGGAAGGTTAGTAATGCAGCCAGGAAAATAAAACCCCACATTTTTAAACACAAGTTCACATATAGCTGAGAAGTGGTAACAGTCCCTGCCATATATTCTGTGCTAGAAGTTACTTGCTAATTCCAGGCAGAGGGGTCAGAAGGAATGCCAGCTATAAATTTAACCATCAGGCAGCAGGAGACAAAGACAAATCTGAGTGACAGGACCACTCTAGATCAAAGAATCAGTCTGGAGGCCAGAAATACAGGAAACAAAACTGGTGTTAAAGAAAAGCAAACAAAATAAAAACCAACAAAACCCACTACATCAAAATTGTGATTTATTTTTTCACAGTCTCTTTCAGAAGCAGAGGTTCAAAGGGTTGTCCCTCTCTAGAAACAAAACCCCACACACCTTTGGGGACAAAACAAAAGGGATAGTAACTAAAAACTTTCTAACCTATGACAACTTTCACCTCCATGTTCTAGGATATCCCAAGACATCCTAGGTTATCCTACCCAAGGTTACACACACAGCAGCTACTGTGAAAAGTGCTCATATTTGCCAGCCAGACTGACTGAGTCTTCCTCTCATTTCACTCACCTGTTCTTTATTTCAAATATTTTTGTATTTTCTACCTCAAAATTACCAATCAAAATACATTCCTTCTGTTTGTGCTGCTGAACAGAGAAAATCAGTATACCCAAACACATGGGCCTGATGTCACCTTTCTCCAGATTGATTTAAAATACCCATTTTTCCACTTCCTTGAGAGACATATGGCTTGATATGATTAAGCTACTGCAGTGCCTAAACCACCACCCCAAAACAAAAATAAAAAGCAGCTCCACTCATTTCATTGGGAGAAAACATGACATCATGCTCCATTCAGGTAAGCAAGGATATGACAAATCTTGCCCCAGTGAACAGTATCATTAACTGCTCCCAGCTACCACATTTATTAGGAAAACGAGGGGTGAAAATTATGTATTCAGCACAACAGAGACAACTCAAACTCCTGTTTTCATTAAGAAAGGAACAAATTCCTACCTGGCTGAGAGAAAGAAAAACACATCTCCTCATCTCAAAAATTAAATTAAATTATTTATTACTGCAACACAGCAGGGAATTGTTTGATTAGCCCACAAGGAAACAAGAAATTACAATTGCCTAGAAGGCAGAAAAGACAATTCTGCTTCTTTATGCTATCTCTAGTAATCCTTCTGTCATTCCCTGTATATTCCATAGATAGCCATTCTCCATTGCCATTCCCTTCCCCTTTAAAAGGGGGGCACAAGAAGATAACGTGCAAAATTGCAAGTGAAAAATGTCTAGCACAGCGACAAGGACAGGCCAGCTCTCAGATTTACATGCACTGATGGAGAAATTACGGTTTCATCTTTCCTCTTTTCTCTTCTCTCAGCATCATTTTCCCCCCCCCATCCCCCCACAAATGCAACATCCATCTGTCCTTCTGACATAGATGGTGAAAGGGTAACACTGACCATGACACACACACACACAAACACACACGCTTAAAAAAAACCCAGAATATAAAGGCATTTTTCCTGGAAATACTCACAGGGATGAAGGTTTCCTGTGTGATGCTCCATCTTCTTGTTTTAAAAAGATGGAAGGCAAAAAAAAAAAAAAAAAAAGGCAAAAAAAAAAAAAGGAAGTCTTGCAAAATTGAAGGAAATTCCACCCCCTTGATCCTGCAGCCTCTGCAAAGGAGCAGAGCAGCGTGTTGACGTCACGGATTCATGAATGGATGGACTGGAAACGGGGCTGGATGGAGCAGGGGGGCAGCCCAGCCATCCCCACCTCCTGCTGCCACCAAAACCTGGGCACCGCAGAGCCCGACGTGTGCCAGGCGGGGAGAGGTTGCTGGAAACTATTTGCTCCTGGGTGAAGTGAAGCTGGAGGGTAAAATGGCATCGGTGCTGCCGTTCGGCGGGAGGGAACATCCTCTGATGCCTTCAAGTCGTCGCTCCGGAGAGTTTCTGCCCCTCTGTGCAGCTTGGGTAACAACAGCATCTCAAATAACAGCCATCTGTTACACGAATCAGTTGGATTCAGTCATCAGAAAAGGAGTTTAGCATCTCTCTGGCTTCTTTCAGGATTACAAACCCCTGAGTATGATTATTAAAATAACTGCATGTGAGCTGGGGCTGGAAGGGAGCTGCGGGGAGAACAATAGGAGGCTTGTGTTTGATTAGTGATGCAAAAGCACCACCAAAATAAAAACAGGAGCATTGACAAAATCCTGCATTCAGCTCGCATCAAACGCTACCAACAGCAGGCAGACAAGCTCTCAATGTCAGGGACACTCGGAAACAGACAGCAGAGCACACACAGCTTCACACCTGCGGCTGCGTGACCCACGGCGAGAGCAGCATCCACGTGTTCCAGCCCTCCAGCATTCCCAGCTCCCTGCCAATGAACACACTGCCTGCTGCACACCAGGTGCAAGGACACAGGATGTTATTTGGGAGCCCAAAAAGATGGCAACGTCTGCAGGAGCAGCTATGATTCACTTGGATCTGGACAGGGGAAGAGCACAAGTTTTGCCTTATTTTTGTATCTTGGAAATGCGAGGGAAGGAGTGGAGGGATGAGCACACCCAGGAATCAAGGTCAAGGTCTAAAGGAAAGCCCAGGCTGCAGGCTCATCTCAGGGTTTTCCAGAATTCATCAATTTCTTCAACAATTTGCAGCTTCCAAATTATTAAGAGCCAGAATTTCCATATTTTCACCACCCCTTTTCCTAGCAAGTAGCAAGCAACTACCTTGTCACCAGAGAGAGCAGTGAGAGGACAAGGGGTGATGGTTTTAAACTGAAAGAGGGGAGACTTAGGTGAGACATCAGGAAGAAATTCTTCATCATGAGGGTAGGAAGGCACTGGAACAGGTCGCCCAAGAAGATTATGGAAGCCCCATCCTGGAGGTCTCTCAAGGCCAGGCTGGATGAGTCTTGCACACCCTGGTCTGGTGGGAGGTGTCCCTGCTCATAGCAAGGGAGTTGGAACCTGATGATCTGTAAGGTCTTTTCCAACCCAAACCATTCTGTGATTATGCCTAAATAGGGCTCCCCAGTTCAAGAGGGACAGGGATTTTCTGGGGAGAGTCCAATGGAGGCTACCAGGATGATGAAGGAACTGGAATATCTGGTCTGATGAGGAAAGGCTGAGAGATCTGGGGCTGTTTGGTCTGGAGAAGAAAAGACTGAGGGGGGATCTAACTAATGTTTACAAATATCTGAAGGGGGGTGTCAAGAAGGGATCAGTCTCTGTTCAGTGGTTCCTGTGATAGGACAAGGGGCAACAGACACAAACTGAACACAGGAAGTTCCACCTCAACATGAGGAAAAACATCTTTCCTGTGAGGGTGACAAAGCCCTGGGACAGGCTTTCCAGGCAGGTTGTGGAGTCTCCTTCTCTGGAGACTTTCAAGACCTGCCTGGATGGCTTCCTGTGTGACCCGCCCCAGGGGATCCTGCTCTGGCAGGGGGGTTGGACTCGATGATTTCCAGAGGTCCCTTCCAGCCCTGACCATTCTGTGATTCTCTCCAATTCTTCTCCAGTTCTATTAAGGCAAAAAAAAAATATCACTTGGCAGTCAATGGACTCTACATCTGCTTCTCAGCACATTGTCCTCTCTTAGTTGTACCATAGTGTGTCATTAGATATCACCCCTCCACCCAATAGTTGCAGGGAGAGGAATGTATTAACTAAGCTCTGAACTCAACAGCAGTCACAATAAACTGAGCCTTGATTTCCAACTGGTTTTTAATTGAGCTTCACAAAACTGGCCAGAGAAAATTCAAATGAATGCAAATTCCTTGCTGCCTGCTCCCAAGATCAAAGACAGCACAGGTGAATTTTGCTGAAGAAATATCTATTGTTCAAGAGCTAAAAAGCCACAAAAGAAGGGATTCCTAGCCAATGTAGACTGAGCACTATTAGACCCAAGGAGAAGCAGGGAGGCACAGTGAGAGACACCTCTGCTTCACAGGGACCAGCTCATGTCACCATTTCAAACCCAGCTGCACCAGGTTACTTAGAACTTGGACCTTCTCTGACTCTGTCTTCTCCTCCCCTCCAGAGACCAACAGGCTGCCCTACAGCCAGCCTCCCCACCCTGAGATGCAACCAACAGCTCCCAGTTTTCCTTGGCATTTTAATCAGAAACAGAAATGTTAATTTACTCTCTTACCCTAAAGCAAAAAGGGATAAATTCAGGAACTAGAAGGGGGAGCACATACAAGGACCAGGGCATGGAGTGCAAGAAGTGGAAGAAAAGGAGAAATATTGTTATAGAACAAGATAAGTCAGAATAAAAATAGAAAGGAAGAGAATTTTCAGGTGTTTCCAAGGGTTAATTGCAGTGATATTTAAAAAAAACCACACCCAGCAGGGAAAATATACAGGAACAAAACCCAAGGAAGACTCCAAGAGAGGAAAAGAGCTCTGCTGAAGATGTTCTTCTCCATGGTGACTTAGGTCAGTGCATCAACACTCCGTTTCATCTGTGCCTCAACAGTTCAGGTCCAAACTGTCAAACACCAAGGTCCTGGATTTAATGCAGGGTAACTACCTGAACACACTATGGACAAGAAAAATCCATCACTGGCCTCAGATTGATGGCTCTTCCAAGAATTATCTTGGTAGCCAAATAACAGCATTAGAAACCAAGGTGAGAAATTATTTTCCTCCTCCTCATTCAGACAAAACCACTGGCAAAAGCAGGGACCTCTGGGAAGCACCAGGAGCCCAAACATGATTCTACAGAGAAGCTGGGTTCAGCACTAATGGGAAAAGAGGGGAAAAAAAAATAGGTACAAAGCACAGCACGGGCCTAAGAGATTAAAAAAACCCCTACATTTCATAAATGATCATGGAAATGCTGGTGAAAAGTTGACAGGAAGCAGCACTCAAAGAGTGATCAATGGCTCGATGTCCCAGTGGAGATCTGTGACCAGTGGTGTTCCCCAAGGGTTGGTACTGGGACCAGTGCTGTTGGACATCTTTGTTGGTGACACAGCCAGTGACACTCAGCAAGTTTGCTGGTGACATCAGTGTGTGCTGAGGTGACACACTGGAGGGAAGAGATGCCATCCAGAGGGACCCGGACAGGTTTGAGAAGTGGGCTTGTGCAAACGGCATCAAGTTCAACCAGGGCAAGGGCAAGGTCCTGCACCTGGGGGAGGGGTAATGCCAAGCACAGACACAGGCTGGGTGGAGAATGGATCAAAAACAGCCCTGAGGAGAAGGACTTGGGAGTGATGGTGAATGAGAAACTCAACGTGATTTGGCACCAGGTGCTGGAGCCCAGAAACCAACCCTGTCCTGGGCTGTGACGCCAGGAGTGTGACCTGCAGGGCCAGGGAGGGGATTGTCCCCTCTGCTCTGGTGAAACCCCACAAACCCCACCTGGAGAACTGTGTCCAGTTCTGGAGCCCCCAGCACCAGGAGGACATGGAGCTCCTGGAGAGACTCCAGAGGAGGCCATGAAGATGACCCAAGAGCTGGAGCAGCTCTGCTCTGGAGACAGGCTGAGTTGGGGTGTTCAGCCTGGAGAAGAGAAGGCTCCAGGGAGACCTTAGAGCAGCTTCCAGTGCCTGAAGGGGCTCCAGGAAAGCTGGGGAGGGACTTGGGACAAGGGCAGGGAGGGAGAGGACAAGGGGGAAGGGATGAAAACTGGCAGAGGGGAGATTGAGGTGAGACATGAGGAGGAAACTGTGGAGTGTGAGGGTGGTGAGAGCCTGGCCCAGGTTGCCCAGGGAAGCTGTGGCTGCCCCATCCCTGGCAGTGTTGAAGGGCAGGTTGGATGGGGCTTGGAGCAACCTGGGCTGGTGGGAGGTGTCCCTGCCCATGCAGGGGGTTGGATCTGGATGATCTTGAAGGTCTCTTCCAACCCAAATCATTTTGTGATTCTATGATTCTGTGATTTCTGAAAGGACAGATGAGTACCAGCCTGCCAGGACACAGGAAGCAAAACTGGTGGCAATGAGTGCAAAAAGGAAAAGTATTTTAAAAATATCTGTTCACCATCTTTGAAGAAGACAAGGTAATTAAATACTCCAAGGCAATTAGTAACTAATCAGAATCTTACACAGCATCTGCCAGGCATAACATTTCAAGTTGGCACATCATATTATTTTGAGCCCAGTTCTAACATAATCATTTAACAAGTTCTCCAATCCTGTGACCTCCAATTTGAATAAACTGGAAAACGACTAAAATTGCAGATGCCTGAGAACAACAAGATTATGGCAACGCTCAAGAATAGCAGCTGGTTGCTATTTCTAGGCCTTGGTAACCTAACACTGGTCGTGGCCAAAAATCCTACTACAACCTTTGATTGAAAAGGATGGGTCAGCTCCTTGGGATCAAAAGCCTGTTCATCTCAGGGTCCCACCTCTGATGGTGGCCTGGAATTGACACAGGGAGGCAGAAAATCAAAGCAGGTGCCTCAGGTTTCTGGTGGCATATTTCACCAACAATATTAGAATATTAGAAAAGAGATGAAAGTGCTCATTTCATAATTATACATCAATAAGGCTGTTCATAAAGCCACTCAGCACACACCTGGAGGCACAGGAGGGACTCCACTGTGAAAACTTTCTACCTGAGGGAATAAATAGGTG